CCCCCCACCTTCCCTTCCCCCTCCCCTTTCCCCCATGCCCCCCTAATAATTTATAAATTATTCTTGTATCATTTACTTTTTCTTTAATGGCCCATGCGTTTGTGTCCTATCTAAGAAACCATGGCTCCGCCCAAGGTCACAAAGATTTGCCCCTGCTCTCTTTTAGCGTGGGGATAGCTTTCACAGAGACCTGCGATCCTCTTCGACATCCTGCATGTGAACGATGGGTGGGGAGTGGTTCTTTCCCAGACGGCTGAGTGATCCCGCAGCATCTGCTGGGAAGATTCTGCTCTCTGAAAATGAATTACCTTGAGACCTTGGTTGAGAATCAGGTGACCATACACACCCTAGTAGGCTTCTGGTCTCTTGGTTTGGCTCCGTAGACTCGCATGTCCATCCTTTTGCCAATTCCACGCTGACGGCAGTAGCTTTAATATGTCGATACATCTAGTGACTGACAGACGAGTGGTGGCAGACAGACAAGTTTGTCGTCTTGTGGTGACTTGTGTGAGGCTGAAGCCTATGTCGTTGGCATTTCAAATGCCAGCAGGGTCACCCAAAGCGGACCGGTTTCAGCAGAGCGTCCAGACTCAGCACAGACTATAAAGAAGGAATCGGTGGTCCATTTCACAGCAGTTAGCCACGGAAACCCTGATGGAGCACATCGAAACATCGTCAGTTCCTGAAAACCTAGAGACTGGAAGCAGAACGTTGTCGGTGATACTGCCAGGAGATGAGCCCCTCAGGTTGGAAGCTTCCCAGAGTCAACCAAACCATAGTGACACCGATGGAGCAAACCTTTCGGACCTTCATTTGCTAATTGGGCATGAGTGAAGATGAGAGGAAACAGATGTAAACATCAATTAATAATTGGAACTTGGCACGTACGAAGTGTGAGTCTAGGAAAATCGGAAGTCAAAAATGAAATGGAATGCATGAAAATAGATATTCTAGACCTTGGTGAGCTAAAATGGACAGGTATTGGCTATTTTTAATGAGAAAATCATATAGTTGACTATACTGGGAATGAAATAATCCAGAGGACTGGCATTGCATTTACTGTCAGAAGGGACATTTCAAGATCTATCTTCAAGCACAATGCTGTCTGTGATAGGAATATACCCATGCGAACTCAAGAAAATCCAGTCAATATAATATAACTCAAATTGATGTCCCAACCACTAAAGCTAGTGATAAGGAATTGTACCAACCTCTTCACTTGGAAATTGATCACACATGAGATCAAGATGCATGATAATTACTGGTGATTGGAGTGCAAACGTTGGAAACAAAGAAGGGGGAATAATAGTTGGAAAATACAGTCTTGGTGATGGCTATAGCCAAGCTGGAGATCGCCTGGTAGCATTTTGCAAGACCAATGACTTGTTCATAGCCAACACCTGTTTTCAAGAACACAGGATTGCCCAGAAATAAAGTCGACAATATCTGTGGGAAGGTAATTATGGAGAAGCTCAATATCCGCAGGTAAAGTCAGGCCAGGCGTTGAAAGCTCAGGTTAAAGCTGAAGAAAATGATAACAAGTCCACGAGAGCCAAAATACCACCGTGAGTCTATCCCACTGGGATTCAGAGGCCATCTCAAGAACAGAGCCGAGTCATTAAACACTAATGACAGGAGAGCTGCTGAGCTGTGGGAGGACATCAAGAACATCCTACATGAAGGTCACTGAAATGATAAGAAAGGAAAGATCTAAGTGGATGTCAGAAGAGACCCTGAGACTTGCTCTTAATCATAGAGTAGCTGACACCAGTAGAAGAAATGATGAGGTCATAGAGCTGTGTTTCAAAGGTAGCTTGAGAAGACAATGTCAAATACTATCATGAAATGCGCAAACCTCTAGAGTTAGGAAAACGAAAAGGAAGAACAGGCTTGGCATGTCTGAAACCAAAAGAACTCAAGAAAAATTCAAGCCTCGAGTTGCACTATTGAAATATCCTTCGGGCAAAATGCCGATTGATGCAGGAAGCACAAGAAGATGGAAAGAATACGCCAAATGTCACTGTACCGAGAACTCGTCCACATCCCACCATTTCAACAGGGAGCTCATGAGCAAGAACCAATGGTACTGAAGGAAGATGTTCCGCTGCACTGAAAGTATTATTCAAAAACAAGGCTCCCGGGATTGATGGAATACAAATGGAAATGTTTCAACAAGCTGATGAAGCACTGGAAGCACTTACTCAGCTATGCCAGGAAATTTGGAAGACAGCTACTTGGCCAACTGAGTGGAAGGAGCCATATTTGTACCCATTCCAAAGAGAGGTGACCCAACAGAATGCTCAAACTAGAGAACAATATCATTGATATCGCATGTAAATAAAATTTTGCTGAAGATCATGCAACAATGGTTGTAGCAGTACGTTGACAGGGAGCTGCCAGAGGTTCAGGCCGGGTTCAGAGAAGGATATGGAACAAGGGATATCATTGCTGCTATCAGATGGATCTTGACCGAAAGCAGAGACTACCAGAAAGATGTATACTTGTGTTTTATTTATTATGCAAAGACACTCGACTGTGTGGACCACAAAGAACTATGGGTAACCTTGAACAGAATGCTCATGCCAGACCTGTACATGGATCTTGTGGCAGTTATGTGAACAGAACAAAGGCATCCTGCATGGTTTAAAATCAGGAAAGGTGTGAGTCAGGTATCTCTCCTCTCACTTTTCAATCTGTACGCAGAGCAAATCATCAGAGAAGCTGGATTATATGAAGAAGAATGCAATATCAGAATCGGAGGAAGGCTTATTAACAACCTGCAATGTGCCGGTGCACAACCTTGCTTCCTGAAAGTGCGGAGGACTAGAAGCACTTACTGATGAAGATGAAGGATTACAGCCTTCAGTATGGTTTACTATTCAATGTAAAGAAGACCAAAATCCTGAGAACTGGTCCCACAGGTCAAATCATGATAACTGGAGAAAAGATTGGAGTTGTCAAGGATTTTCTCTCTCTTGGATCCACAATCAATGCTCATGGAAGCAACAGTCACATTACATTCGGTAAATCCTCTGTACAAGACCTCTTTAGAGTATCGAAAAGCAAGGATGTTACCTTGAGGACTAAGGTATGCCTGGCTCAAGCCATAGTACTTTCAGTCATTTCATATTCATGTGAAAGTTGGACACTGAATAAGGAAGATCAAAGGAAGAATTAACGCATTCGAATGATGTTGCTGGCGAAGATTATTGAAAGGACCATGGACTGCCTAAAGGACCAACAGATGTCTTGGAAGAAGTACAGCCAAAATGCTCCTCAGCGGCATGGGTCGTGAGACTTGCCTCACGCACTTCAGACGCAGTCTCTGGGGAAGGACATGGTGCTTGGTAAAGTGGAGGGACAGAGAAAAAGAGGAAGGCTCTGAGGGAGATGGATTGACACAGAGGTTGCGACAATGGGCTCAAGCATCGGCACAACAACAATGCCAACCAAGTAGTCCTGGTGGCATAGAGGGTTACGCTTTGGGCTGCTAACCTCAAGGTTGTCCGTTTGAAACCACCAGCCTCTCTAAGGGAGAAAGACGAGGTTTTCAGCTCCCTCTAAGCTGTCATACAGGCTCACTGTGAGTAGGGATCCGCGGGCGGCAGGGAGTTCGGGGTTCGGGGTTCGGGAACGCACGACGACAGAGAGGAGGCCGAAAGATGCAGGGGGAAGGCGCGTTCCAGAGTTGCCATGGCTAGAGAGCCCCGCCACAGGAAGAAGGGGAGGGGCGAGCTTCCGGTTGGGGCGGGCCTTTCAGGGTTGCCCTGGCTACGAGGGACGCCCGCCGGCCCTGACGCGTTTCCGGGGCGGGGGGAAGCCGCCGGAAGTGCGTGGCCGCCCGGGGCCATGGCGGCTCTCGGCGTCGTCTGCCTGCTGCTCTGCGTGGCATCCTGGTCGCCCGCCTCAGCTTCGGGCGAAGAGTTCTGGCCTGGCCAGTCGGCGGCCGACATTCTGTCGGGGGCCGCGTCCCGCCGACGGTAAGCGCGCCTCCGCGCCGGCCGGGGGCCGGGGCAGGGGCGGTGGGCGGGGAGGGGGAGCGGGCGTGGGGGCGGGGAGCCGGAGGGGGCCAGGCGGGTGGGCAGTGGGAGACGTGCGTGGCCCCCATCGCCCACGCTGCCCCACAGACGACCCCTGGCCTGTGGTCCCGAGTGAGGATCGCCCCCTTCCCTGGGACCCTCGGTGGACAGCCTCCGGAGACCCGCCGCAGGGAGGACCGCATCCGTTCAGGCTCAGCCTTGAGTCCGGACCCGGGGACCCCGGGGTAGACGTTTGACCCGAGTTGGTGGAGACTAGGCATCGATGTTTCAATGGGCTGCGTTTTGAGGAAGCCCAGGCTCCTTTGTAGGGAATCACGTAGTCTCCAGGTAGCGGATGTTTGGGTTTATGAATCTCAGGGGTAAAGGGCGGGGGCCCAGCGTGGGGTGGCCCACTTCCTCAGGGTCAGGGCTAGGGAACCTCTTTTCTGCCAAGGGCCATTTGGACATGTATAACGTCGTTGATCACAAACCATACTATTTAAACACTTTAATTAGTTCACCTCTTTGAGGCCTGTGACGTTAGCTGGTTTTGATGATCCCACTACCCTCTGGCCAGATGGCCCCCAGCCCTGCCCTAGCTGCTTCCTGCCTTGCGATCCTTGGGTAAAGCCGGTTTTTCAACATCGCTGTAATCTGTGGTCTGGGGACTATGTGGGTCAGGAGCCAGACTGGTAACCCAAAGGCCTGGGGATCAAACCCACCAGCAGTTCTGCAGAAGAAAGATGAGGCTGGTTGCTCCCTGGAAAGGTTTACGACCCCGGAAACCCTAGAGGGCACCTCTGCTCTGTCCTGCATGGTTGCTGTGAGTCAGGATTGACTGGCAGCAGTGGGTTTGGGTTAACAAAGAGGAGTGGACTCAATGCCGGTGGTTTAGTGGTGGTGGTAAAGGAGGGAGAATGCAAATCCAAGAAGAGAGGAGTACATTCAAAGCAACTTCTTTAGTGGAAGCTGGGGGCCTCCGGGTTGGGTTTTTCAAAGAGGGGCGACTTGCCTTGGGTCAGGAGATAGTTCCTAAAGTGTTTCCGGGGAGTCCTGGGCCTGAAGAGCCATGGTTGTACTACTACTGGCGTCTGTTGCCATCGAGTGGCCGGTTTTCCCGCCCAGCCTCTCAGCAATGTGATGTGGGGTTTTTCCAGTCATCTGTGACCTGGCAGCAGATGGAGTGTGGGAAGCAGACAGGAGAATCCAGGATGGCCAGACCTTAGAAACTGAGATTTATAAGATAAACAATACTGCCACTCTTCAGTTGTCCTGGAAAAATGTAGTTATTTCTCATCAGAAAGGTTACTTAAGAAACATTTAATGAGGCTATTTTTAAAATTTTTTTGAATATAGGAGCTATCGATAGATTTAGCCCACATAAACAAAAGGATTGTGCATAGAGGGGGGAGGGCAGCGGGGGTGGTCTCAGTCATTAAGAGGGTAAAAGGAGTCTTTAGCCCCAAAACGTGGGGAACCACTGGAGTAGTGACTTGGACTAAATGATCCTGAGGGTCTAGCCGCTTAAGGCGCAGTTAGTCAGTGTTGAATTCTCTGAACGTTGAATGGATGTCCAGATAGCTGCTGCTCCCAGTCCTGTGTAAATGGGTGAGCAGCTGCCCCACCCCCCATCAGAAACTAGAAGCCACGAACAGCGCCTGTGGTATAAGCAGCAGGCTGTGGATGGTGAGCGGGCTGTGAATGGTGAGCGGGCTGTGGATGGTGAGCGCTTGCTGGGTTTCCGTTTGGAGACCTCTCCCTAAAGCTCTGCTGCCCTCCCTCCCTGCTCAGATACCTTCTCTATGACGTCAACCCGCCCGAAGGCTTCAACCTGCGCAGGGATGTCTACATCCGCATGGCTTCCCTGCTGAAGACTCTGCTGAGGACCGAGGAGTGGGTCCTCGTCCTGCCCCCGTGGGGCCGCCTCTACCACTGGCAGAGCCCCGACATCCATCAGGTCCGAATCCCCTGGGCCGAGTTTTTTGATCTTCCAAGTCTCAATAAAAACATCCCTGTCATCGAGTATGAGCAGTTCATTGCAGGTAAGGGTCTTGGCAGGACGTGGGGCCAGCACTCACTCTCCCTTGGGGTAACTTTAGGCCAGCCCCATATCCCTGACCAGCTGGGTCAGCCTCGAAGGCGCCGGTGCCCCAGCCACACCTGTCCGTCAGGTGTGCTGCAGTGGCTGTTCTGCCTAAGGGCCACTTCCCTTTTCCCCACCAGAGAATTTAGCATAACCATCCTAGGGGGAGAGAGCCGGAGTTCATGAGCTGTGTGTTTTCATCTGTGAAACCCACTACGGAGAGAGCGTACGATGGCAACGATGACAAAGCCACAGCGGCACAATCACAGGGGCTACCCAGTAGGCCTTGTTCAGATAGTACCTGGCTTCCCCCCAGGCCGTAAAGGTGTCTTTCCTAAAGGAACATCTCTAACGGGATTCCTTGTAGTTCCTGTGTAGTGTCTCACTGCCATGGGTGGACACATTCATAAAGATAGATTTTGTTTGGTTTAATCCTGCTTAGTCTTTGAGATTTTTTTCAAGCAGAGGAGTTAAAGATTTCCCTAGAATAAAGATACTTAGAGTTGATGGCTTTGTTCAGGAGCCCTGCTGGCGTGGTGGGTTTAGTGTTGAGCTGCCAACCGCTGGATTAGCAGTTCACACCGAGCAGCCGCCTGACTAGAGAAAGAAGGCTTTTGCTTCCAAAAAGCCGAGTAGCGCCGGAGACCACCGACAGGCGGTTCTGCTCTGCCCTCCAGCACGGTGGCCGTGGGTTGGAATTGTTGGCAGTGAGTCTAGTCTTGGTGTAGGGCTGCTCGGCTTGGGAGTCATAGACGCCCCTGCCATCAAGCCAAGTCCACCTCGCAGCGGCCTAGAGGACAGAGTAGCACTGCGCCTTTTGAGAGTCCAAGGCTGAATCTTGACCAGAACAGGAAGCGGCATCTTGTTCCTGTACTGAGGGCTGGTGGGTTTGCACTGCTAACCCTGTGCTTGGCAGCCCGGTGCTTCACGCGCTGGGCCACCGGCTCCTCAACCTCCCTGCCGAGTCCATGCCGAGCTCCGTAGATATAGATGTCAGTGGTGCTTTTTCCCAGGGACACTTGAGAAGTTTTAAAGCTTCCCATGGGCAGCTAACCAAAATTTTGGAGGTGTTGAGTCCACCCAAAGCGCCTCCGAAGGCCAAGTAGCAGTCCACCTCCAAAAGCCCCCCCAAAACCCAGGGCCGCCAGTGCAGACAGGAGTCCAAGCCAGGAAGCACGCTGCTGCTCTCAGCGCCTTGAGTTGTTGCCCCACACCGGTGGCAAGCTCACCACCGTGACGGCTGGCCCTGTGAGGAGTGGCTGCGCATCTCCATTTCCCCCTCTGGGCCAAAGGAGCCCTGGAGGCCACGTCTTTGAGTGCCTGGCTGCTAACCCAAAGGGGGGCAGTTTGAGCTCCCCAGCCGTCCCACGGGAATGAGCGGAGGCAGTCTGCTTCTGTCATGATTCACAGCCTCAGAAACCCTATGAGACAGTTCTACTCCAACCAGTGGGGCCTTTAGAAGTCAGAGCGGACTTGATGACAACGGGTTGGGTGGGTTGTGCCTCTTAGATTTTGTCACTGTGGGTCGGCCGACTGGGGAAGCATCGTTCACTTGGGTTGGGGAGGCGTGTCACAAACACCCTTCCCTGACCCACCTTTTAAGTGCACTCGGGGGAGCACTTGAGACCTGTGCCTGGGTGCTAGTCTCAGGGAAGGCCCCCAGAGAAGGTGCATCCTGGCAGGGGTCTCAGGCCTGAGGTGGGAACACCCAGTGTGCCCCAGACTGATTGGGAGGCTGCAGGCGATGATGAGAACAGTGTGGGGAGCTTGTGACCGATGTGAGCACTGGATTCTGCTGGAGGGAAGGGGGAGAGCCCTGCAAGGGAGAAGGAGCCAGGGGCTGCCGAGGAGCCCTGGGGAGAGGAGGAGCCCAGGGGGGTGACCCGAGCATTTGAGTGGGGCTCCTGAAGGAGCTGTGCCCTCCAGAGGTTCCCCATTCGCCCCCTTTGGGGACTCTGCTGTAGTGGCATTTATTCAGTCCTATGGGAGTGAGGTGGGGTTCACTGGATTACTGAGAGTCACATCTGCACCCGTGCTGCTCCGGGACGGGCTGCCCTTCGACTCCAGCTGCCTTGGTCTCTTTCAGAGTCAGGTGGGCCCTTCATTGACCAGGTCTACGTCCTGCAGAGTTACGCCGAGGGCTGGAAAGAAGGGGCCTGGGAGGAGAAGATCAACGAGCGGCCCTGTCTCGACCAGCTCCTCTACTCCCAGGACAAGCACGAGTACTACAGGTGCGCACGGCGGGCCAGGTGGGCTGGACTCCGGGAGTAGTGGTTCTCAGGTTTGCAGGTGCCTGTTCACATAGCCCGTTTACATCTCGACCCAGCGCCCTGTCTCCTATGGCCGGGCTGCTGGCCCCCCATTCCCCGTCTGTGTGACCCCACTGCCACCCACACCACGAGCATGAGTGGTGAGAGGCCGTTAAATGCACCCTAAAAAGCTGACCGAACCCACCCTCTATCAGAAGGCAGTGGAGGCCGGATGGCTGTGGAGCTGGCCACCATGACCTGCCCAGCACCCACAGGGCCTCGGTACCCCGCAAGAGGCTCCAGGCTTCCCCGAGGGGTAACTCCCAGGTCTGCTCAAAGCTGAGCCGTGGGTGGGTTGTGCAGGAGAGTTCATCGCCTGGCAGAGCAGCTGCCAGGGCTGTGTGGCCCTTCAGGTGTGAAGTGTGGCACCGCCAGCCTCTTCTCCGATGAATGAGAAACGCCTCTGTCTCGTCTCGGCAAATTGAGTTTTGTGACTTTCTTCTCTGTGTTGTGCAAGCGTGTGACTGCATGTCAGATTCCTCAGGGAGGCAGCCAAGCCATGTGTGTGGGGTCCGTCCTGAGACAGCCACTTGTTGCCTTGTGAAAACATCCAATGCTGACCGGTGAGCTTGGCTCTTTCAGGGGATGGTTTTGGGGCTATGAAGAGACGAGGGGCTTGAACGTTTCCTGCCTGTCTGTCCAAGGATCTGCGTCCATCATCGCACCCGTTCTTCTGAAGAACACCTCAGCACGGTAAGTCACCCACCGCCCTGAGCGGCGTGGCCCAAGCCGAGCTGGTGCCTGCTGCTGGGGACATGTGCAGAAGGCTCCTCTCGACTCAGGGAGGCTGAGTGTAGAGTGTGCCCATTGACTGCCACAGGGTGCTCACCTCTGGGGACCGGCACGCACCAGCTGGGGTGGCGGAAGTGTCAGGATCAAACACCCACCAGAGCCCGTAGGGGTCTCAGACGTGGGGAATTCCCAGCAACCTTGGGAATTAAGTCAGGCATGTGAGTGGCCAGTGAGCATAGCTGACAGGCCTGTGGGGGACACTGGCTGTGCTGATTCTTTCTGGGGAGGGGTGTGTGAGACCGGTCAGTGGAGTGACTTGTTACCGTGGTCCAGGGCTGTAGATAGAGAGGAGCGGGGGACACTGGTGGTCCCTACAGCTCCACATGCTGTGCAGTTGCCCCCATGCACCACAAGGTGGCGGGCTGCCTCAGTAAGGAGCCCAGATGCCCATTGGGGAGGGGTCCGGTCTGTGTGGCCACTCCTGGGGTGGGGGTGGGGGGTGTCTGGTGGCTTCTTCAGGAGAGTGGCTGTGATGAGCCTGCTCTCAGCCCGCCCATAGCCCCCAGTCGAGTCGTAAGTCTCAGAGGCAGCCCCTGAGGACCCTTGGGACTGAGGGATAGAGGGAGGAAGGCCCAGCTGCACAACTAACGGGTCTCACCTAGGTGTACAGACCCCTCGGGATGGAGGGCAGCAGTGAATCTGCCAGGGTCAGAGCTGCTGCCCCCAGCTCAGAGGCCGGGAGGATTGCCCCCGAGATCCCTTTCCCTGCTCCCCTCCTCCCCCCTCCACACACAGGCGAGGTGGTGGGCAGGACACAGGAGAACCGATGGCATATTGGCTGGGGAGTCAGGCTGTGATGTCCAGAAGGCAGGAGTGCGCAGCCGCCGCGGGAACCTGACGGAGCGTGGCTGTGGGCGTGGCCACCCTCTCAGAGCAGTTCTCTTCACCGGGCCTTCGGAAGCAGGCCTGGCTAGAGTAGTGGGCCTCTGAACCGAGTGGGCTGTTTCCTGGCCCCTCCTGCCCACTACTGGGGTCTCTGGGTCACTAAATTAGAGGAGAAACTGACACCAAGTGTCCATGTCACCCCCGTGTGGGGCACTTGAGAGTCGGTGTGTGGGCAACTGGCTGGCAGAGGAAGGCACTGACCCTCCCAGGAGTGAGTGACACAGGCCCCTCTGGTCCTGCCCCCGATCCACACATCCCAAGGCTGTCTCCAAAGACACGGCCACCTGGGGGGGGGGCCACCCCCTAGCGAGGGCAGCCAGGCCAACCCCGCAGGTCACGTCACCTAGCCGGAGACGCGACGACGTCCCTGCTCTCGACCCTGGTGCTCCTCCTGGCCTGGGAACTCCACCAGCCAGCCAGCCTTGCGGTGGTCTGGTCGGTTGGTTTGCTTGCTTTTCTGTTAATCCCTTCCTCACCGCTGGTTTTTGTGGTGGTCTTTTTGCTCAGCCTTTGACACACATTGTGGCCTGTGAGCCTTGCTCAGGGAAGTTCTGGGGGCACAGTGACCTGTCGCCCCTGCAGGAAGGCCCTGGTTGCTCTCACAGGGTGGGTCTGTGGGACACCTGGGGCGTGCCACAGGGACACCCTGCTCGCTCATCCTCAGGAGAAGTGTCTGAAGGGGTGAGTGTGGCTGATACAGACCTTGAGCCTCTCCAGGGAGCCCCTGGGGCCCTCCCCAGCTCCTCCTACCTCCCTCCCTGTGCTGTCCGCTGGCCTGGTCTTGGTTTCCGGTGCCTCTGAGAACCTGGCAGGCCCATCTTCGGAGCCACAGCAAATGCAGCCTCTGCCCTTGATGGAGAAACGCGTTGGGGTGACCAGCCCCGCCCAGCCGCTCTTCCACAGACAGTTCACCTAGGAACCCTGCCGCCAGCTTCTGGTCCCACGAGGCTGCGCATGCGCACAGGGGCTGTTTTCAGAGCAAGGCCTCTGGGGTCAGTGGGCAGGTACAGGGCAGGGGGCAGCCCAGCACACAAGCTCCCGTCACCCAGAGCTGCTGCCTCCCAGCACCGCACGCTGCCTGCACTTGAGAACCGCCCAGGACAGATAGATTGAAGAGCGGGTCTGCACATGGAGCAGGTTAGAGTAAAACGCACCGTCCGCCTCAGTGTAACTGTCGGAGAGCAGGAAGGGGAAGACCTTGGGCACTCGGTCCGGCAGGACTTAGAACAGAGACTGTGGCACGGTTAACTCAGCATGGCTCAGCCGAAGCCTGTACGTAAAGCTCAACTTCTCACCATCCAAGGAAGCCATGCCTACGTCGCTGGGCAGTGGGAAACCAGCGCAAGTGATGCCGTAAAGGACCTTGGGGTTGGACAGGGAGGTGAAGTGCATCCAGAGAAGGCCCAGTCAGGACCACAGACACACACACACCATTCGTGTGGCCACATCTGGACAGGCAGAGCGTGCCCGCCAAACTGAGCCTCTCAGACGAGATGCACGGGGGTTAATCAGCTTGTCTCTGCTGCCTGGCCGTCCAGGGTGCCCTGGAGTCATTTGGGTCTGTATGGATCACAGTCACAAGTGAGTCTCGTGATGCCTGGCGTGTCACCTAGGGGCATAGTGGCTATGCATTGGGCTGCGATCTGCAAGGCCAGCAGTTCAAAACCACGAGCTGCTCCTTGGGAGAGAAATGAAGCTTTCTACTCCCATAAAGACTTACTGTCTCAGAAACTCACAGGGGCAGTTCTACCCTTGTCCTGTAGGGTCCCTGTGACGCAATGTCAACTCAGTGGCCAAGTCTGATTTTGGTTTTTATTTGATGTTTAGAATGGGTTAGGGATTAGAACACCACTCAGAATCACTGTGCAGAAGGCCAGCCACAAACCTTGTAGTCTGAGCAGTAATTGGCCTAAATGCATGCTGGTGGCCCCGAGCGCTCAGTGTTCCCACCCAGGCAGTCCTGGTTTCTTCCTCGGCCTGGGGCTCTTCCGCTTTGTGCTTTCCGGAGAGAGTGATGTACTCGCTTTAAAGTCAACTTGTAGTTTTCTCTGCTGGCAGGTCTGTGATGTTGGACAGAGCTGAGAACCTGCTGCACGACCACTATGGAGGGAAAGAGTACTGGGATGTGAGTACCGCCTGGCCGGCCACTTCTCCCGCTGTGGCCTTTGAATGGGCTGCTTTCGCTCTGAAAGATTCTGAACGTACGCCTCCTAGAAGTCATGGGTTTGGGCCAGGAGCAGTTGACTGAACTCCAGCCACTAGCACAGCCAGCCTCCCTGGACCCAGCTCCTGGGGAGTCAGTCCAGACAGAAGACTCGCTGTCTGCCTTGGGGGCTCTTGCAGAGCTAGGCGCAGCGCCCTTCTTTGCTTGTCTTTCACTGCGGAGTATAGGGATGTTCTCCCTGCATGAGTCCTTAGTCTTCGACTCTCTGTGCTTTAAGGGGAGCGCGGGAGACAGCAGGGCTGCGCCTCCCCCTCTCCCCTCCCCCGCGCGCCCAGCGCTCTCCTGTGGCCCACAGACGCGGCGGAGCATGGTCTTCGCCAGGCACTTGCGAGCAGTTGGGGACGAGTTCAGGAGCCGCCACCTCAACTCCACCAATGAAGCGGACAGGATCCCCTTCGAGGAGGACTGGACCAAGATGAAGGTAGCCGAGACGGCGCGTCTCCTTCACAGGGACCTCGCTCAACACAGTCAAGGGTGGGGGTTTGCCCAGGGCCCAGCGACCTCTGAAGCTGTACTTTGAAGATGACGAGATGACATGTGAGAAGAGACGGAGGCTCTCTCTCTCTCTCACACACACACACACACACTCACCACCACCACCCCCACCACCACCACCCTCCGAGGAGGAGCTAGGCTCCCGGGCAGCCCCATGTCCTCCTTAAAGTTGACACTGTGTCCGTGAGCACTTTCAGGTTGGCACGTCCTTGGACGATCTCACCATCTAACGGGAAGTGCTTCCTAGGGGCTTGTTCTTGTGTGAGAAGTTTGCGTCCACTCTTGTTTGCTTTTGTGTTTAAGGTTTCCTTTACTAGCGGGGGTAGCTCTTCGCATTAGATGCCCCCCCTCCCAACAGTCTTCCCAGAGAATCCCCTAGAGGCAGTGCTGGAGGGCGCTGGGTGGAAGTGCCCGTGCGTGCTCAGACCCCCTGCATCCCCAGCACTCTCTCAGCACCACTCGCGTGTGCCCATGCGGCTCTCCCCAGCCCCGTGCAGCCCAGCTCCTGCAGACTGGCCCCAAGCCCCGACTGCGCAGATGCCAGCGCGGAGCCTGCGTATTTGGCTGCAGCGTGTCTGTGGTTTTTTGATAGGTCAAGCTGAGTTCTTCGCTGGGGGGTCCCTACCTTGCTGCTCACCTGAGGAGGAAGGACTTTATCTGGGGGCACAGAGAGGACATGCCCAGTCTGGAAGGCGCTGTGAAGAAGATCCGCAGCCTCATGAAGACCCACCACCTGGAGAAGGTGTTTGTGGCCACCGATGCAGTGAGGAAGGGTACGGCCTGTGACCTTTGGCGTGCACCCTCTCCCTCGGTCCTCTCATGCGGTTCCTGGGAGGCTGGGGACTGCTCCTGCTGACTGCTGCCCTGCCCCCTGGTTCTGCCCGGCCCGTCGCTCCTGCAGCTCTGCGAGGCGCAGCGGGTGAGTCCACGCGACCTGTACCCCCTGCACCCCCCTTAACTTTGCAGACTATGAAGAGCTGAAGAGACTTCTGCCCGAGATGGTGCGGTTCGAGCCCACGTGGGAGGAGCTGGAGCTCTACAAAGACGGGGGCGTGGCCATCATCGACCAGTGGATCTGCTCCCATGCCAGGTGCTGCCCGGCGTCAGAGGCCAGCCCACACTCGGGCACGGCCCTCGCTTGCTCTGCCATTTACCATGTGTCTAGCATGTAATAAATCTCCAGCCATGCAGAGGGACAAGCAGTGTGACCGATAAGTTAAACAGGAGCAGGCCCCTAGGTGATACATGTATCAGTAGAGTTAACAAATAACAGTGATTGTGTTAAAATAGTAATAGAAGTCACACACACCCTGAGAGCACCAAAGTCTGTTATGCAGTAACCCCACCCGTCGACCCCTAGACGGGTCAGTAGAACCCCCAGACTGGAGCACAGAGACGGGAAACAAGCCACATCAGAGACAGGAGGGCCCCCAACAGCCTGAGATAGGGGGGCTCAGGATTCTGAGGGGATCAGACAATTGAGGCAGTAACAGGAGAGGAAGAGGTGCCTGGGATCTCCCCCAAGTGAGGGTGGACGTTCGTCCTCCCAGCAGGTAGCCCCGCCTTGCTGAAGGACTCCTGCCCTTGTTTCTGACAGTTCCACCTAGCCCTTGTTTTTTAATCACCCCCTCAAGGGGGGTTATTATGCCATCTTTGCTGCCAGTTCCCCCTCCCCTTCCCTTCCCCAACCCTCCTGACGTCATCCCCCTTGGTGCTGTTTCTGAGGGATTGTCTGTCCTGAATTCCGTACATTGAAAGTTCTCGTCTATACCGATGTATGTTTGCAGGACTGGCTGCATTTTCGATGTAGGACTGAGATCCTAATACGGGGGGATTGAGGACACAGAGAAGTGTTGTGTGATTTGTCGGTGTCACACTGCCCCCGGGTGTCTTCTCTTCCGTGTGGCCCCTCTGTGCTGGAATGTCCAATTATCTCCGGATGGGCGATGGATGGGCTCTGGGTCTCTGTCTCAACCCCTCTCCTTCACCTCGATGAGGTGGTTTATTTTTGGACTTCTGATGCCTGTTCGCATAACACCTCATGATCACACAGGCTGATGTGCTTCTTCCATGTGGGCTTTGTTGATTCCCTGTTAGATGGCCGCTTATTTGGCTTCAAGCTTTTAAGACCCCAGACGCTATACTTTTTAATACCCTGGCACTATCTGCTTTCTTCACGTTTGCTTATGTACCCACTTAGCCTTCAGTGATCGTGTCGGGAAGGTGGCATCGCCCAGTGGCAGCTCGTTAGAACCAAGAGTTCTTGTGTGAAGGAAACGGGTAGAGTCCCAGTGTCTTGCCTTATAAATACGTGTGCGTACTAGCCCTTGTTTGGGGCACTTACTCTGCTTGAGTTGTGCTTAGCAGCTTCAGCCTCTGCACATCAGCCCCTCCACTGTCGGCAGCCGCAGTGGGCAGGTGCTGCTGGATTGCAGAGATGGGGCAGCCAGGGCGCGCGCGCGCGCGCGCGCATGCGTGTCCGTGTCCGTCCTGGGGGGTGGGGTGATGGCCGCGCCTCACTCCACCCCCTTGTGTTTCTCGGCAGGTTTTTTATTGGCACCTCGGTCTCAACGTTTTCTTTCCGAATTCACGAAGAGAGAGAGATCCTGGGCTTGGACCCCAAGACCACGTACAACAGGTTCTGTGGGGACCAGGAGAAAGCCTGTGAGCAGCCCACCCACTGGGAGATCGTGTACTGAGGCGCTGCTGTGCCCGTCCCCCGCGGGTGCTCCTTCCCAGGGTCTTGGAGTCCCGTGCTGGCAGGGAGGCAGGTGGGCACGCCAATGCCCCTGACAGGGCCCCAGGCCCGAGGAGGTGGCCCGAGCAGAGCCGAGGTGGAGCCTGGGGCCCAGGTGCGTGCAGCGGCCCTGCCGGCTGGGAGAGTGCATTGCCGCTCTGCACGGACTGGTGGCGGGCCGGGCCGCGCCTGTGAGCGCACCTATGCTGTGTGATAGACAGAAATAGTGTTTGCCGTAGCTGCGGTTTGGGGGCTGGCCTCCAGCTCCCGTTCCTGCTTATTCTGAACGAGGCGTGGGTAGTGCCCAGGGCCCGGCTGTGTGCTGCACTCCTGGCTGACCGCGCGCGGACGTGTCCCGATGCTGGACGTCTCCTCAGGGGCGACAGAAGAGCCTCTGCCCATCCGCAGGCGCGCTTCCTCCAGTGGCCTCATTGGTCCGCTGCGTGGGCCCGGGAGGAGGGCAGAGGCTCCGGGGGTGTGTGCCCCTTCTCCCCACCTGATGGGTGCCAGAATGTCTCAGGCCGGTCTTCAGAGTGCGGGCCAGCTGCTCACAGCCTGTGCTGCCGCCTCCACTGCCCTGCTCGCGTCCACCCACGACCTCGGGAGCTGTGGGCACAGCGTGGGCGAGGACTGATGGCACACACACTGGCTTCGAGGGCACCTCAGGTCCACCGCCGCCTGCTCGGGGCTCGTCTGGGGCAGGTGCCCCTCCCGGTGCTTCAGCGCTGCTGCTGTGGGGCATCTCTGCCAAAGAGGCGCCGTTGGACAGACGGCCGCCGAGAGGGGCACCCGAGCTCTCAAGATGGCACCCACCACCCTCCCTCCCACCCGGAAGCCCCACCATCTTTTCCCGCCACAGTGCGTGACCATCAGCCAAGGAGTGGCAGGCAGGACGGGAGCCTTCGGACCCAGACACTGCCCTCAGTCGGCGCTGGCTCTGTTTCTCTGGCTTCCCTCCGGAGCCTTTCCACATGCCTCCCTCGTCTTACTCTGCCGTCCGTCCGTGCCGGAGCGGTCCTCGCCGCTGAGCAGGGTGAAATGATGCAGTATTTATTCTTTTTCCATTTGTACGTGCAGATGTTGTTAATAAAGGTAATTTTGTAGGAAGCTGCCGCTCTGTTGGTGCCTTTCTCTTGCACGTGCAGTGAGTCGGCCTGGAGAGGGAGCCTGGTGGGCTGCAGGAGGCGGGCGGCCAGCATCAGCGTCGCGGGCAGGGCCCGGGGTAGGTCTCAGTGGGGACAACAGCTGGAGGAAGGGGGCCCACTAACCTGTGGGAAAGACGAGAAACAAGTGCGGGGTGGAGAGAGCTGTAACCAGATTGGGGGGTGGGGGGCGCTGCCCACAGGGGTTTGCTGTAGTGGTCAGTTCCTGGAGGAGTAAGGGCAGACCTCCAGGGAGGCTCACGGAGCTCAGGGAGAAGCTGTGCCCAGCCTGCAGGACACTAGCTCGGCGCTTCCACCCCGCCCCACAGCTCGTTGGCCTCTGGACCCACTGACCCTAAGCTCCACTGCTGGGGTGCAGCTCATGGCCAGGAGGGGTTTCCCGAGCTATGGGCTGATGGGCCCTTCTGAACAGCACCCCTGGTCCCCAGGTGGCCACCGCACCTTCCCGGGGACTCTGACCAAGGAGCCACTTGCCAGTCCGTAAAGACGAAGGGGAAGGAAGCGCCGAGACAGGCGGACCAGCTGCCTGCCCTCCCGGCACCTTGGAGCTGCTGAGCAGGGCTGGCGGGGACGACCGGTCACCAGAAAAGGCCGAGAAGATGGGAGGCGACTTCTGAACAGGACAAGCGTGGATGTATTAATTGTCCTCCTGACAACCAGCCACTTCCATTTTGCCTCTGCCCCGTGTCCCAGCACAGCCCCTCCGCACCTCTGAACCTAGTCAGTGGGTAGGGTGGCCATCGGTGGCCTTGTCGCTGTGCAAGGGCCCCAGGGCAGTGACCAGTCCAGCACAAACCAGGGGTCACCCTGCAGCTCCTGAACTGTTGGTTCTGACCTTTCCGAGCAGTGACACCCACTCTTTCTCTGTCACCATCATGGCTTCTGTATTAGTCTAGGTACTTTGGAGAAACAAATCCACAGCGACTCATGTATAAGAGAGTTTTATGTAAAGTGTGCATCACGAAAACATCCCAACCCAATGCTGCCCAAGCCCACAAGTCCAACTTTAACCCATTAACCCAACACCAGTCCACAAAGTCCTC